GTCCCCGGATCCGGGACGAATCTGTTTGGACCCTCATTGCTCGAAGACAGCTCCTCGAGGAAGAGGTACGAAGCCTATTTCCAATTCGCTGGTTTTCGGTGAGTTTCGGGCATCATGGGAAGGGGTTGCATGCAAGGCTCGCGAGAGGTCGTTGCTGCTAAGTTCGCGACCTGCACAGCATCCTGACATGCATTGTAGACATGTTTCTGTATTTCGTGGCAAGCTTGAGTGCGCCGAGGCAAGAAGGCCCCGAGCAGTAGTTCACAATGGGAAGGTGTGGGACGGCTTGAATCATTCCCTGGACGACCGATCGGATCGCAACCACACTTTTGCCAGAAGAGCCCCTCGCCGCCGCCGTCCCACAGCCGTTTTCGGATTCAGCTGAAGCTCGAGAAATCAGATTTTTTCGGCTAGGATCGCTGGGGCCCACTACTCTAACGAATTCCAGCCCGTCGGTAAACTTACAGGATCTTACAGGGTCCTGGAGGCCCTAATTTGGCTCAGAACGGGTTGGTACCTGTTTGTATCCATCAGCTCCGGCAGACCAGCATCAAGATCCTGGTTCACCCGGAATGGGTGGCGCTCTCAGGTGAGACCGTGAACCGGAAACTGGCTCTGGACCCTACCCCGACACCTCAGATCAACCCCGGAACAACAGGTGTTTGCGGCTGCAGGCTTTCGGGGCCCTGTCTTCGCAAAGGTGAGCACCGACAGATAGCAACACGCGCAGTTTCAACAGCAGTTCCAACAATGGTGATGATGATGATGATGATGATGATAATGGTGATGGTGATGGTGCTGGTGCTGGTGCTGATGATAATGAAGAAGACGGTGATAGTGATGGTGATGATGAGAATGACCTAGGGCCCTGAGCCTGAGCCCAATTCGACTGAGGCGCCCAAAGGTGCAGCACAGTTCAAGAAGCCGCATGCCAAGCCGGAAACCATTCTGAGGTTTCGAGATTCGAGAGCCTTTCATGCTTCGGGTCGTGCCGGGCATCTGGGTTACGCGTGGACGGTTTTTTGATTGGGCTGTTGTCAGTACGTGTTGAGTCGAGGTTTCAGGGTCTTTTGGTTTGGGGTTCAGGCTTTAGGGTTGAGGGTTTCCGTCTGCACTTCCAGTTTAAAGTGTTTCATGGCTTTGGGTGAGACCGCGGGTGTGCCTTCGAAGCAGAGGCTGATCGAGCAGGGCTGGTACGACGACGTCGGCACCTTACATCTGCTGAATCTGGTGTTTTGGATGGAGATCGCTTCCATTCTAGCAGCCGCAATCGCAAAAACGAGTGTTTCGTGCATGGCAACAATATCAGCAGCAATACTTGCAATCATAAGCATACTCGGAATGAGATGCATATGTCGACTCGCAAGACAAGAGCTGATTCGGCACCGGACTCGAGACAGGCATGTCAGGCGTTCCACGGTTCATAAGCGACCTTACGCCACTCCCAGAACTGTTCATTAGCTTGGAGTTGCAGGGTTTCGGCAGTCTGTAGAGTTCAGGGTTTTAGGGTTTAGCAATTGGCGTACTCCGCTACGGATCGGTGTTTTTCAAAGTTAGCTTAGCAGGTAGAAGTATTTTGAGCAATTCGTGAATTGGTGCCCTGTTTGCATTCGGCTGCGTTCGTGAATTGCTCTGTGTGTGTACACACACACACACACACACTCTGACTGTGCAAGAGTGCATAAAGGCGTAGGCAGCTTTCGGCCTGGCGTAAAGACTCAGCCCTGAGTGCCTGGCTCTTGGAAACTGCAGCAAGCTGATGTGCAGCCATGCAAGGCCGGGATTTTCCGCGTCGTGCCGGGCTTCGTGGCACAGCCCGTGGCTAAGAGATGCGCAGAGCCATAAACACCCCAGGCCCGAATATCCTGTACCAGGTTCAACCTGCAAACAGACAATACTTCACCCGACACATGTTAGGCTGATGGGGCCTTAAGGGTCTATAGAGTCTCGAGGAGAGTGGCAGAGGCTCCACCCTTGAGCCTAACCTGTGCTCTGCAGCCCTAGACCGACTTCTAGTTAGGCTCCGAAATGGAGAGCCGGACACCTCCTCTTGATCTTGCTGTCCATCCCAGATTCCAGAAGCCAACCAAACTTCGCGTGCAAAAGGAGTTTGGGCTTACTGACTGCATGGGCAGCCACAAGGTTTGGCCTGCCGGCAAAGCCGCAGAATCGGCTTGCCAACATCCCCGATGATCCCGTTAAGGCTCTCCGGGTGGCTTTACTTCGTGCTTGGGTTGGACAGAGGGACTTGTTGCTTGCGGAAGCAGAGCTCTGTGTGCCACGCCTTGCAGGCTTCAAGCCGGACCTTCGGAGAGCCACGTCTTCCAACTTCCGACACGCTAGGACTAACTCCAATCTGAACCCCGCAGCCGTAAAAACTGAAAGCCTGAACTTAACGAGTAAACGCCGATGGCAGCCGCCCGCCACCTCGATGCCAGGTCAGCAACAAGCGTGGCACGCTGGTGTCGGAAGCCCACAGAGTCGGCGTTCTCGTTAAGGAAGTCGGCATCGACAATTATTCTTTTACTTTCAGTAGTAGCAGTATTATTACTGTTTATCAGGTTTTATCGGCTTATAGGGTGCAGTCTAGCGGCCTTCTACCTAGAGCAGGTGTTCGTGTTCATCACGCTATGGTTAAACCGAGGCTACAGGGCATACCATTACCAACTGTGAAGTCAACACTGTATTCGGACCCTTCATACGCGCTGCCTCCACTGCTTAGGCCTCGTGGGTTCGGGGAGTTCTGTGCTATGGAGGAGAGAATTAGGCATAACTTCACAGTGGCCATGTCGAAACACGTGAATAGTAGACTCGACTCAACCACAAAGCTGCCTTCCCGGCGCTAAGCCATGTCTACAGGGTTCTGTACCCTCTCAACCCAAATCATGACACCCCAGCAATAACATGAATCTCGAAGCACCCACCCGGAGCCTCGGGTCATCTCTGAGGTTCGCCACGGCGGGCCCGAACACACGAACATCCCAGATGTTCATAAACTACAAGGACGGCGTTTGAATCATGGCGAGACCTACGACCGGCGTGCTTTGACAAGAACCCATGGCGGCAGATTGCACACGAATTGGAGCTGCAGCAAGACTATGGAAGTCTCAGCTTGAAGACCCTGAGACCCTACTCCCCGAAGTTTCTGCGAGGCATCACCTTCTCATGTTTGGCTTCCCCTCGCGGTCGCCGATATCCTTTCAGAGCACTCATTGTAACTTCAATCCTGCACTTCGAAACTACCAAGTCTGCAGGACAATGCATTCCTCGACAAGCAAGGCCCAGAATTGTTCGGAAGTGGGCCATGCGCTTGTTTGGTTCTTGGGGCTTTCGACCTCGGCTTTTTCGGTTTTCGCTGAAATTGGGGCATGCCTTGTCAGGCTTCGCACCTATCGGCGAAGTCATGGACAACGGCATGGAGGCTGCAGATGACTAAACCGCGACTGCAAACCCGTAGCGCTGAGCTGGCTTTTGTGCTGGTAGTCCCGAGGCGACCTAATATTTAGGGACAATTTTGACAACTACCCATGTGGAGGCATATCCCTCGTAGCTTTTCCCCTCACCCCGTGTAAACGGACCCTGCAACCCGAGCCTCCCGAAGGTCGTGGAAAAGTTCTACAAAGGTTACGGCGAGCAGCCGAACCAAGGCCAAGTAAGAAAGGGACCGAGCAACGGCGCTTCTGCTTAGGCCGAAACTGAGTTTTAGGTTGGTCCTTGTTCAAGTTAGGAAGAAGATTGAGTTGTTGGCCAGCGGCCAGCGTATCCTTCCCATCCCTAGCAGGGCCCTAAACCCTGAATTTGCTTAAACCCTTACCGATGCCTCCAAACCTGTTTGGTGATCCTATATCATTCTACGTATTTGGATAGAGAACCCTGGGTTCCGTCAATTTTTCCTACTTCAGATCGGCTGCCAGGGCTCATCACCAGCAAGGGCAACGCTTACTTGGACACGCAGCCCTGGCCTTGGGGAGACTGTAGGACATAGAAAAAGGAAGCCCGAATGCCTCCTGGGGTTCTGGATTTATGGGACGAGGTTGAGGTTTCGGGTTTGGTGGCTGGAATGCTGTTTCGTGTGAAACGGAAGAGGGAGTAGAGCTTGACCGGCACTAAGGTTCCCAAAGCTGACAAAGATCACAAAGGCCACTGTCTCTTCTTAGGCGTAGGTGTAGACAAAGAGGCAGAAGGGCTGCGCAGAAAAAGTGTGGCCAGCACTTAAGCATATCTCTGTTTCCTCCGCTCTTTTTGCTAAGCCATGCTCATAAGGGGTGTTTGGTCTTCTGTCAACAGAAATGGAGCGTGAAGGAAACAAGCACGAACATTGACAATCAGGTAAGACTGTACTCTATAGGACGTGCGAAGTAGTGCAACCACTGTGCAAACATAGATGAAGATGAATAGCTGCCCAAGGTTAAACAAAGAAGCGTCAGCATACCCTAAGTACTGTGAGCAGGCACTCTACCGGGCAAATCTTGTAGAAACTTACAACACCCGAGATATGGTTCGCTGTTGTCATATCCACAATCCTTTTGTGCTAGTTGCTGTGCTCTTCGGTTTTCGAGGCTGCAGTGCAGCTGGGGATGCAAGCCCGTAAACGCAAACGGACGACTGTAGCAACACCTTGCAAGTCCCTTTGTAGCACTAGTCAAGAGCTAGCTGTACCCACTATTTCGCATTCGTATTTCGAGAAAAGTAATCATGCTGCTCCGGGATTTCTAAACCACCGGAACCCCGAACACAAGCACTGACAACGGTTTAGATTTTTCGGACCGCAGCCACGCATCCTTAGCATCAAACTTGGAACCAACACCCGAAAGACGACGGAGCAAAGCCAAGCACGCACCCACACAAACGCACGCCAACCCTGGTGGACCCCGAGCTGCGACAAGGAACACCAGGTATTGCTAACCCGAACACTACAGCCCGAAGTTCAAAAAACGCACGGAGTGCCTCGCGAGGGTTGGGGTTAGGGCACAATTACTGCTGTAGCCTTGAGCGCAGCTATGGTTGCCAAATTGCTTATGGGCGCGAGTGCGGTGGCAACGAAGCTTTGCCCGGTTTTGGAGACCTTGGATGGAAAGCAATGCTACTTAATCTTGGATTCTTCTGGCCTTGGTGTTGAAAAATGAGCGTTGCATAGGTAATTTTAGCGGCGGAGGTTCTCAGAGTTGAACTTGTCAGACGCGTTTAAAAGTAACCGCTGATGGTCTAATTCGCTAATGTTAGTGGACCTTGCATCTGCTTATCGTAGTGCATGTTTGGGCTTCGGACGGTTCGCACGAGTTTCTCCATGCAAACCTGTTAGCTCAAACCCAAACCGGTAAACCCAAACCGGTAGCAATTGAGGCTACGGCCTGAAATTCGATCCGACCTCCTCCAGCCTGGCACTGTGTCGCGACAGCTGCTGTGCCGACGAGGCTTGCGACCTGTGGCAGTTTAAAAAGGACTACGGCTGCTTCCGGGGCTCTTCGAATCAATGTCTGAAGCTGGGCCTCTGAAGTTCATGCAAGTGTTCTGCTCATTGTACTTGAGCCCGGTGTTGAATCGGCTTCCCTGGTTTTTGACCGACCATCTTTAGGAGAACCTCGGACCCTTTCTGCGACGGCAGCCGCGGTGAGAGATTGCGCGGCAGAGTCGGGGGCAGTCTCGGAGTGGTTTGGTTCGGATCTCGGCGGCACAACTATGCAGAGATTGCACCTGTGGATCCATATCGCCATGGAACGCAGAAGGAGGTCCTTCAGACTTTCGAAGGCGAGTTTGTTCATTTCTCGCGATCTGGGCCTGGGGTTCACCAGATGAACGTTTCTAAGTCCTGCTGGTCTTACGACCGCCACCCATCCTGGTGCTGCCCGGGGATTGCACAGCAAGTACGCGCCTGCTGGCCTGCCCACAGCATTTCGAGCCACTGCTGCTCGCAGGGCCAGTCTGCGGAGGGGAGCGTGCTGTACAATGCTTTCTTTGCGGCGACGCCGCACCTGACTGCTCAAGAAGCGCAGCAGTTCCACGAGAACTTTCCCGGCTTCGCCATTGATGAGGCCTAAGCCCACACCGTGGACCCTACAAACCCCTGTAACGCCTCATCAAACCCTCAAAACCAGACTCTAAATTCGGCACCCTGAGGCTTCCTTCGAGGACACGCGGCTTCGCTTCCGGCTGGGGGACAAGAGCCCAAGCTTGATCTGCCCTTCAGGCTCCATCGAGCCTCCGTTCTCCAAATACAAAGCTTTCGGTTTCATACAAGGTAGTCAGACAAGGCTTTGTTATGCGACTTGATCTTACTTCCCGAGGGTTCCTGTCACTGTCCTTATAAGCTAGTAGCAGCCAGTACCAAGTCTGAAACCTTGCCTTTCCTTGGTAAGGGGCAAAGAATGGACTCCTCCGGAGTCCTTTGGCAGATGGCCCTCCTCCTGGCCCACTTTCGCGCGCCGGCCTCTGGCACTTTCCTGAACTTGGGGTCTGGGACCTGCCAGGCGCCGGGAGTTGCGTAAGGGTTCTGTCAAGAAGGCTTCCATGAGGATGACTGGTTTCATTAAATGTTTTATGAAGGTGTTGAAGGGTTCTTGAATGTTCTACTGTCTTGGAGGCTTAGAATGCCACACGGGGGTCTGTAGGACCTTCGAGCCTGGGGTTGATCGGTTCTTTACAACATAGGTTTCGTCCTCAAGGCTTTAGAGGGTTTAGAAGGGTTTAGAGTTTAGGTTGACGATCCGACCGGGCCTCGTGGGTTTAGGGCCAGTCTTGTCAGGCACCGGACCCTTTGCACCAACTCCTCAGCTCGGCAGAGGGCGACGGCATGGTCGGAGCCTGGGTTCATCTTACTACAAGGAGCCAAAGTTCAAGCTTCCTTAGACAAGCTCATATTGACTTTACCATATAATGTACCCCCAGAGTCCCTAGAGCGGTAACTCAAATTTAAGTAGACTCCCGAACTCGGCCCCTTTGAAAGCCCGGTTATACCTCATGCAGCAACCTCTCAGAACCCTCATGAAAGGAATTGCCGTCGACTCCAACAGCAGCCGCCTGGACGTTTGTAGGGTCACCATGTCGAACACCCCAGGGCGTGTGCTGCCCGCGCCTGGGTTCCGACTCATGGGCGAGAGAGAGAGAGAGAGCGGTTTATCTATCAATTTATCTATTTATCTACCTAGCTATCCAGCTATTCAGCTATCTAGCTATCTAGCTATCTGTGTGTTGCTCTGTCTGTCTATCTATCTAGCTACCTAAGTATCTGTCTATCTGTCTGTCTAGGTATCTATCTTTCTTTCTGTTTGTCTGTTTGTGCGTCTTCTTATCTATTTCTCCCTCTCTATCTATGTGTCTATGGATCTATGTATCTACGTTTCTATGTATCTATGTATCTCTATCCATCTGCCTCTCTGCCTATTCGTGCCATGTATCCGGTTATCTAGCTATCTATCTAAACATCGGTATATTCGTCTTTCTAGTTAGCAGCTAGTTGTCTATCTATCTGTCTGTTTATCTGTCTGTCTAGCGGTCTAGCTGCCTGTCTGTCTGTCCGTCCGTTTGTGTATGTATACATACGCCCCTAAATTGAACATCCAGAAGTCTTTCAGCACAACTGTCTTCCTGACAGCGGTACTCCGAGGTGCATCTGACCCTGGATCCGACCCAAGTAGTGGAGCAGCTGCTGCCTTACCTGAAGCTCATCTTCGGGGAGGCGCCAAAGCCTTGGCCCTTGGACTTCCTGGTCGTGGACCTGGATGGTGTGGACTGCCTCATCATTGAGGAGCTGCTGAGGGTTCTGCGGCCGAAGGTGATCCACTTGGAGATCATAGCACACATCCCGCCCCCTTTTCGCTTCTCTTTGCAATGGCACAGCAGGCTCTCCCCGCACTGGAACGATGTTTATGACGTCGACCTGTTGAATCCGTTTCAGGGTTGCTCCCTGAGCTATGCGCTGCACAAGTTTCGACCCTTCGGCTATGCTCTGCTTCCGGGCGGCATCATTAGTGTTTGAGCTTCTTGCGGATCAGTCATTATGTCCCACTTGTACTTGTAAAGTTTTTTTCTCAATCCACTCCTTCATGTTGGTCCTATGGTCAGTGCTATGAGTTCTTTGGAGCCAGTCTTCCGAACCACTTATTCGATTGATTGCAGAGGTCTTGTCGCTGCCTGTGGTGTTTGCAGTCCGTCATCCCTAGCCCAATGATGAAAGTTTGCCGACATATCTACTGTTCTTAGTCATATCATGCTAAGGCTGTGGTGTTTTAGAGATGGAACCCATCCTCTCCTTTGGACAGTTTGGATCATAATTCTCCGAATGACTGGGTCTGTCACCTATCATCTATTGTTAGGGCTTATATGCTTCTTGAACTCCATCTTTCTCTTCGGTCCTGAGTGAAGGTTCATACGTGGTCTTGTTCCTGGGCTTTAATCTCGAAGGCTTCGCATTTTCCTCTACTGGGACGCAGATCCTTTTGCTTTGGGGCACAGGCTCTCTAGCTTTACAGGCGTGCGCAACAGAGTTTGGTTCCAGCCGGTCTGTCAGCTCTGCAACCATACTATGCGGCATGTTTTTTTGTGTTCGTATAGGCTTTCTTGCCAGCGTATATGCGGCTGAAGCAGGTAATTATAAGCATCTTGCAAAATGCTTGCCTATAGTTCGGAAACAGAGCTGCAAAACTCGGGCCTGCTGTGCGACGCCTTATGTATGTACATGTATTTCTACATTTTCTGTATATACAAACATGCGTATATACATATATGCTTATGTATATACATACAAATTTATTTCATTACCTACCATATATGCGCACCCGAAGCCTAAAATGCTGGCGGCCTAGGCTCCGTCTGACGCAGCATGATGCGATCTTGGTCCACAAGTCCCTCAAAGTCGTTGTGGAGCACGGGCTCCAGGCAGTTTCGGGTTTTAGGGCTTAGGGTTTTAGGATTGTTTCTTCTCAGAGGAAGAGAGTTCGTGGTTCCAAGGCAACACGTTTCGGAAAGTATGCTACAGCAAGACAGATCCCCAAAGTAGTAGGATCCCCAACTCGAGACCCCCCAAGTCTAAGAAATTCCCGTATGCTGTAGGAAAACAAGAACAAAACGCAAGGGTGGGTGGGTGGTTGTCATCGTAAGGACTCACAATGGTGACTTGACATAGCGCACCTCTGAGGTGAAGCTGCCCCAAGATGAGTTCCAGTGCTACCGAGACAGCACGCTGTGGCTTCAGATGCCCGCCAGCTACGTGAGGGAATGGTTCTTTGCACGGCATCCATCAGCAGTGATTGGAAGCATTTGGTCCAACATCTCGACCGTGAACCAAGAGCTTGGCCGTGAGGGTATGCCCTTCACTTTGGACTTCTAAATCCTGTCGGACACGAGCACCAGCCCTAGAGCAGCTGCCACAGTAGCTGCCATGCTCTCGCGCGCCACGTACCAGCTGCAAGTGGCGTGAACATGAGCCCCTCAGCTGCACCGACTCGACGAAAGCTGTTTATCGTAGCACCTCCCAACCTTTTCCTGATTTCACTTCCAAGCCTTCGACTGGAGGAAAACCCTTCTCCGCCTCTGTAGGCCCCCCGAGTTGGGTTGAGTAATCTCGAAGCCCGCCAGGTGCACTCGTCGGGCGTCAAGTGGGCATCGCAAGGTTGAGGGTCTTACAGCCTAGGGCCTAGACTGTCAGGTTTCGGGAGTTTGAACCCGACCTACATCAGAGCCTGTTCAGGCCCCTCTTGACATAATTGGTTATCCCATGTTGCTACAACCTTGCATTCCCACGTGATGTCGAGCGTCGAGCAACTGGCATCCAAATTGTACCGAACGTAGATCGAGAAGAGGCATGCGAAGTGCTCGCAAGCTGACGTATCTCAGATCGACGTCGTGATCCTTCTTGCTTTGCAAGAACCGGCGCCAGTACCACCAGAGTGATGACGGCCACTCCTGGCATGCTTGGTTAAGCTGGCGACCCGGGAGAGGCGCCATGGGTTGGGATTGATAACCGGGGGGGTGATTCGTGGCTCCAGCAAACAACACTTCCGTCCTTTGTCATGTATTGGCGATGTTACAAACAAAGCCTCAAACCCGCGGGCCCCGTGAGAAAGCATGCCATCCGCTTGACTTCGCAGCAGTCTTCCTGCATGTACCTGCCTTGCGCCCAAGCTTCAAGACCCATGGCTTACTTCAGCCTCAAGTTGTCATTTGTGCTCGAAGAAGACCCGCACTGTCCGGAGGTCCAGATCTGGCACTTGGCAAGCACTGAGACCAGCGGCCGAAACAAGTGGGTCGAAGTTTCAGCTCCTGCTGCAGAGTGGGTGTTGCGAGCGGCTCCAGTCGTTACGAGGTCACGCATTCCTGCATGCATCTGGCTCAGCTTTGCGCTTCTTTTGATTGAACGAAGTATCCGCAGTTCACTGGGATTCGACTTGCAGCGTCTACTACATGTCCTTGCACCGAGGGGGAGTGCAGCAATGGAGTCTAGGAGGCATGCACGACAAACTGCGAAAGATTGAGAAAGCCATTCGTCCGGCCGAGCCATAGCTCGACGGCGGCAGCAGTGCAGCCGCCGATTTCCACGAGAACCGTTCTGCCAGGCGCGAGCAGTTTCATCGGTGTAGAGGCTTCTTTAGAGCTCAGCCAATTCAACACAGCATGATCGCTGCAAATATCATGTCACGCACTGCCATGGAGCGCCGTTGTTTCCAAGCGCCGTCGAATCCGTGACTTCAGATTTAGAGACTAGCTGACAGGTTGCATGCATAAACTCCTTTGCTTTGGAGGAATGCTTCGATTCCGTGTGTTTGGAATTGTAGCCGCGCAACTGCAGAGTCACTCGGACATAGCGTGGTGATGCCCTAAGTGTTGGCACGAGTGACCATCCAGCAGGAGCTGACCAGGGTGCTCAGAAGACATACGCATGCACATACACATGCACATACCCATACGCATACACATAACTACACATGCACATACACATGCACATACACATGCACATGCACATGCACATGCACATACATACAAGCAAAGAAACATGCTTGTATTCAAATACGCATGGTAGGTGTATGTATATGTATGCTGTATGTACATGTATACGCAAAACCCTACGAATCCCAGATCAACCCAAACCGTAACCCAAGCCAGCAACCGCAGTCCTAACTCCCAACTTTGCTGGGGTTTGGGGTTTAGGTCTTTCTGTTGCCTGGCACAGGTCAAGAAGCGAGTCAAATGGCTAAACGAATGGGGCGGCGAGGATCTCAGCAAGGGGCGAAGCTTCAGGCTCAGGTTGGCTTGGGGAAGGGTTTGGGGGGCTCTAAGTTCAAGGATTTAGGGTTTAGGGTGCTGGGATGCCTTCAAGGCAGGCAACACGTCCCCGAGCGGCGTTTCTGGACCTTAGACATTCTCGAGAAAACTCCTCACACCAGGCCGCAGAGGCGGTTGCTCACCTTTTCACGCAAGTTCGGCCCGGCCAAGGGCCTCCATGATTGAGGCTCTTGAGACTCACCAAAGAGGTTTGGCCAGCATCCGGGTAACCCCGGCGGATAGGTTTAGATCTGAGCACCTTAGGACGTAACCCTGAACTCTAGGGTAGTGTTTGCGGGCAGACGCAGAGGATTTAGGGCTTGATGGCTGGGGCCTTTCTTGGTGAAGTCGAGCAGGCCCGTTGCAAAGCACATATCTCGTATGGGATTTAGAGTGTAGTGGCTTAGAGTTTAGCGAGCGCCTGGTTCTTGCAAAATCCATACGTGCGCCCAGGTGCTAAAGGAATTTCAGGTTTAGGGTGTTGGGCTTCGGGCTTCGGCTTCAGCTTCCGCAAAGCCCTAGCCTTCTCAGCTCTAAGCCTGACACCTGAACTTTGCCAGTCGAGTACTCAACCATGACCCAACCCTACACCCCATAAAGCCATACACCCCTTTTCACGTAAGACTTAAGCAGTGCCAGAGGCCTGAATGACAAGCTCACCTATGAATTGCTTCTTTGGCAGCAGTGGAGCAGACGAGAGCTCTTGTATAATGGCGCCCTGAGGATTTGAAAAGGTGGTTTACGATGGCTTTAATATAAAAGGGTTCCACCAGTATTTATGAGGGTTTGTTGAGCAATCTCAAGCGCCCGGCTTCGCTATCTGCAAGGCAGTCGGTGTAATGCATATGTACCGACCAGATAGCCCAAATTCAAAAGCCGTGTTCGAGTTGTCAAGGCTCCCAGAGTACGTCGGGCACTTTGGCCCGACTAAAAGGCCGAAATCGCCGGAGCTGCAGGTTTTTCTTTTCAGGGTTTAGGGTTTAGGGTGACTTGGAAGCCGAGGTTCATTGGTAGGTTTCAGCTTACATTGAAAACAATAGGTTTAAGGTTTTAGGGTTTAGGGTTTAGGGTTTAGTGATCATCCCTGGCTCCTTTTTGCAGGAGTACGCTGTCCCTGGGGATGGCGTAACAGCTGCACGCTGTCTCCCTGGACAACCCACTCCCTAAAGCCTGAAATTCCCAGTCCCCTAATGAAGACTTCGAGCCCAGACAGCCTAACCCCCGAAAGCATAATATGCCTCAGCATTCATCCTGGAAGCTCCATATAACCGACAAGTCGGAGGACCCAGATATCAGAACCTTTGCTACTAACCATTCTATGCAAGGTCTTTGGGTCTCCCTTGCGCGATCCGGAGTATGGGCTAGCTAGGGATTGAAAACTGTTTCTGGTTTGGGGTTTTGGGGTTTAGGGTTTAGGGTTTGCGGGAATGGGACATCCGGAGTTTAGGGTTTTGGGGTGTAAACTGTGCTTCAAGGTCGGGGAGCTCTTGCTGCGGTCGGGTCCCATCGGTCAGGCGCCAATGCCAGTCGCGGTCGAACAACTAAGGAACGAATGTTGGGTTTAGGCAAAACAAATGCCTTCAACCATCAAAACACAGAAATGCAAGGTAAGTTTTGAACATGTGCCGTGAACATCCTTGAACAGTTATCCCGCTAATTTTAAGTTTCAAGCGCTCTTGAATGTGGCGTAGAAGGTTTCGTCCACATTTTAAGGGGCATTGGGCTCTCCGGCCATCCATGAGAAGGGATCTTTAGCTTGGGTCTTTTTGAGGAAATTAGTTTAAGCTCTTAGAACAAGGAAACCACATCTTCTCCTACGCTAGACCATGTTGTGGTAGCTTAGGTTGAACTCCTTGACAAGAACTCAGCGAGATAGAAACTACAGGGGAAGATAAGGCATAGGATGTACATTAAGTTATTGAGTTTGGCACTCATAAGGTTCACGAGATAGTTGCCAATGATGTATGCAGTTTGCTTTTGTTCATTTCTGAGATGGAAGTGGGGTTGGGAAGGAACTCGTCAGGGGAGGGGCCATTACGGACGGTTGTGTTTCGATGAATGTTACATGGGATTCCATACCAGTTGCAAGGTCGTGCTTGTGACACTGCGCGTGAGCAGTAGTCGTGATCATTTCCGCCTTCATGCTTCGGGTGGAATCGGCAGTTGCAGAATGCTGGCGCATGCATGTTCAAGACACCTTGTTGGGTTTGGGCTTTGGCGTTTTGGTTGGTAAGGCTCCCCCCAAATTGAAGTTCTGTGTTTACAAGCGCGAAGCACCTGAAGCACGATAGATGTTATATGCATGCAAAAAGGGCTCGTTTACAAGTATCCCGAAAACATCACTCGACAGTCGCCTCAGCCCTTAAACTAACCCTGCTGAGATGGAAACCCTGAGTGTCCCGTAGAAGTTACTTCCAACTGATATCTAGTGAACCTAGTGAGCTGCCATTGCTATTCGCATTTGTTTAGGATATCTTATTTTGGGGTTTAAAGTTTACGGTTAAGGCCCCCCGTGAACCCGCCATACTGATTGGCAAAAACCAAGCCCAACGACCGAACCACGTCACAGCTGTGAAAACCAAAGAATCAAAGCTCTACACCCAGAGCCGTGGCTCTAAACTCCTAAACCCTAAACCCACTTGCGCAGATCATGCACATCCTCAAGAGTTTGGAAGTGAACGCAGCAAAGGCCGACGCAATCCGGCGTTCGCTTCTAGAGACTGCAGAGACACCAAGCCTTAATGACAATATGGGGCCTTAATCATTACCTATACTACTATGGGGTTTCCTTATTGTAATTATGGCATTATCCGCCTCAAACCCTTATTCTAAGTATCAGCCCCCCTGTGTTAAACCCGAAGCCCTTCACCCTAATCCCGGCAGGGTTTCACATTTCACGGGTTTTGGGGGCGCCAAGGTTTCACATTTCACGGGCTTTGGGGGGAGAGTGGCGACGAGAACCCTGACCGAGGCATCTTGCCTGTCCACATGTGGCCACACTTGCAACTCATGTCGAATTGCAGTTGGTTGGAGACTAAACACAAGGCCTGTGCTATGCAGTCACTGACGGCATCATGTCGACAAATCAAGTCACCGAAGGAAAGCATGTGCATGTTGTCATGTTTGTAGCGAACCACAACACAAAATGCTGACGCAGGGCCGATGTGTGACGCGCTGGGCAAGCGTGTCCAAGCCGAAACAGGTCACGATTGTTTTGATTCAGCAACAGAAAGAAGCCAAGCGAAGTGTCCAACAAAGCATGCAGCTAAGGTAACTCACCCAGTCAAGAGGCTGGCTTGGAGGGATGAACCAGCAGTCAAACTGAAACAGGTGGAGCTCGACCATTCATTCATGCAGATTGCCTTTTGCTCGAGCCAGAGGACAGCTAGCTAGGACGACTGCCGCCATGAGCAGGCCTCCAGCAACATCGCGCAAGCTCAGGCGTGTGCTGGTGCTACTGGCGCTGTTCTTGGTGTGTGAGCCAGAGCCTAAGACCGGCGCTTTGAACAGTGTTAGAGGTGTTCCCGAGCAGCTTCAGGCGAGCATCGCAGACGGCGCGGGCTTTGCTTGGAGCGGGGGCCGCGCCCTTTCCAAGGTGGGTTGTGATATATGGCATGGAGTGCCGAAGATGCGCAAAAGCCAGAGCGAGGTCGGTTCCTCCGGGAATTTGGGCACGGAACTTTCTCGTTGCACGCAGGGCTGAGGCGGGAAGCCGAGACCGAGAGGAAATTCTGTATTAAGCTTATGTCGTGAAGAGCCGAGGCTGATGGCCCTTTGGACCGTGGTGAGGCCGAAGACCATGAAGACGTCAAGGCGAAAAGGCTTTGTCGTGGTTGTGCAGTTCTGATGGCGTTTCCTTCGCTGCTGCCCGTTTCTGACCAGGGGCCTTTGGAACCTCGTGACAGCAAAAGCAAGGCGAGAGTGGTTTGTCCTTTCGGTGTGTGTGTGTGTGTGTGTGTGTGTGTGCGTGTGTGTTCGCATCGAAAGCTGCTCGGCGGGAGCATCAGACGAATTTCGAGGAGCTTGAGGGATTGATTGCGATGGTCTCATGCCAGCAGCACATGTAGGTCTTTTCGGGATCAGTCCATGTTTGGAGGCCCCCTCAGAAAAGGATCAGGATGAGGTGGAAGAGGCGACGACCGAGGCACTTCCCGGCTTGCTGGTGAGGGCTTCGCAGTTCTGTGTGGCTCCTGCAGGCATTGCAGGCCAAAGCCAGCTTCGATCAGGCGGGCTCCGTGAAGGCGTTGACACATGTTTGAGGCTGCCCCTTGCTGCAGGCCGACTGGCTAGACAAGACAGCTGAAGAGATCCAGTCGCTTGGAGTTGAGGAGGTGCAGCTTGCGATGTCTCTGTTGAAAAAGCGCTTCGAGTGTGGATGGGCAGGTCGGTTCTTGGGTCAGAGCGGCCTTGGAAGAGGCGAGCTTCGACGAGGAAGACGAGGAGGTTGTGCAGGAGATTACAAATACTCTGAAGGGTGAGAAGATCAACGGCGCCGCGCTGCTGCTGTTGAAATCGGACGACATGAAAGAATTGAAGATTCCCATGGGGCCGCGCAAAGTCCTGGCAAGTCGCATCGCCGCCGTGTCAAAGGCGACGGCCAAGGCCGGTTTTTGTTTGGACTTTTCTCGTGCAGACCGGAATCTCGCAGCATCCCCTCGCTAAGCTGTCTCCATTGCTCCTTGCAGCACTTCGGGGAGTGAGAGGGGCTTTCGGAGCAGTGGGCTCTTGGCTACCTCGGGTTGTCAACTGCTCGAGTCTCGTGGGTTTGCAGCACTTCGGGCTGCGTGTGCAGTTGTTGCTGTTGTGTTTGGTTTGCAGCACTCCCGCATGGTCGTCGTGCGTTTTCGTGCGCTCCACCGTTTTTGCTTTTTGGGGTCATGTTTTCCTCTCAAGATCCCCTCGTCTTTAAGCTTCACTGTGTTGGCTTGCAGCACTTCGGGGAGCGGGAGGGGCTCTTGGCTGCTGCAGGTTCAGGCAAATCTGGTAGCCCTTCGTGTTTTGCCGATGCTTCAGAACGGGGTGTCAGTCCTCGGCTCGAGGTGGGGGGGTCAGCCTGTTTTGCGCTCATCTTGCGCTCTCCAGGTTGCGGTTGTTTTTGTTTGAGGCTCGACTATCAGGTTACTGTGTCCGTGAGGGGAGTCAAGGGACCTGGGTTCTTAGTGCTTGCCTTTAGCGCGCGGACCTTGAAGAGCAGTGGGGTTCCGGCAAGACGAGTGCAGGCCGGGGGGGGCTTCTGCGTGGGCATGTTGCCTTTGGTTCGTAGCACTCCTGCATGTCCGGGGCTTTTGGTCGTCGTGCGTTTTCGTGGGGTCCAGCTCGTCGTTAAGCTGTCTCCACGCTGTCTTGGAGGGGTGTCGAACCTCGGTTTGTTTTTCTTCCGGTGCTCGTCGTCTTCAAAGCCAGGACGACCCAGCCTCACAGCAGTGTTTGGTATGAGGCTTTTGTGAGAGGTTGCAAAGAGGAGCACTCTTGTCGTTACTATTGTCTTTTACAGTGCTTGTAAGGCGTGTCGCTGCTTGTGTTTGGGGGCCAGCAAACGTATCTAATGTCAGTTAGCTGTGTCATTGCCTTCAGGTTGAAAGCACTTTGACAGACATGGCATTGGTGGTGAAAGCAGCGGTAAAGGAAGCAATGTTCACCGGGCTGACGGTCTCTCGGACTGCTCTGTGGAAAGACGCGTATGGACCCGACACCAAAGATCAAGAACTACGGGAACGCACTGGCGAGCCTGTCCTTGATGCCAAACAACTAAGCAGTCTTACCGGGCAGAGCACGGAGAAGGACCTGGTGGCTTTCACTTTGCCCATCTTGAGATCGTTGTTCCCAGAGGACCAGATCGTCGACTCGCAAAATTGCCGTTGGCCTGGAAGCGGCTTGTCACCTGATTTGTTTCGATGTATGGTGTGCAATGGCAATGCAGCTAGTGGCACGCCGTACAAGGAGATGCTCGATTGTGTGTCTGTCTTTGAAGCGAAGTTGGCGATCAAGGATGACAGCCGTGGTCAGCTGTATGAGTATCTATGTCGCCTTCCTTCCAAGCATGCAAGGGGCATGATATTCGATAAAAGCGGCTTTGAGCTGTACCACGTGGCTGGGCAACCTGGGAGCCGCAAAGCGCTCTTAGAAAGGCTTTGTGGGGCTTGGTCCGCTCCTGGAGGGAAAAAGCTCCTGCGTGATTTTCTTTCTCACTACTCTCCATGGGAACGGTTGTTGCGCCAATCTCTGCGACAGGCTGGTGCTGTTCCCGTTGCTTTCCTAGGCAGCGGAGCATTCGGACGTGTCTTGGAAGCGCAACGCGAGCGAAATGAGAAAATTGAAAGGATTGCCATCAAGGCCGTTCTTGCAGCTGGCGTGCCAGACGGATTCAGCCCCGGAGCGGAGGTCGAAGTCATGAAGAGGGCCCTTCAAGCGGGCTGCCCAGTAGTGGCTCCTTCATCAGACTGCATCGAGGTCGTAGAAGGCGCCAAGGTTCTGGGATGGTTTCACATCCTGCGTGATGTTGGTACCCCGGTACCATTGGACATGGCCCAGGCGAGGTGGCCAGCATTGGTCGAAGCCTTGCGCCAACTACACCTGAATGGCTTCGTCCATGGAGACCCACGCCTCGCAAACGTAGTTTTGCTTGGTGAAAACTTTACGTGGATCGATTTTCTGGGACAACCAGTATTCACTGGGGCTTCGCAGGAGACGGACATTCAGATCCTCATGACTGATCTGGTTGGCCAAAAAGACCCGGTTCAGTTTGGCCCGCAGTTTGACGGATGGCCACACAGTTCAGCCTTCATCGATAATGTGCTGCTGCCATTGATGTCTTCTGTCACACGCTGAGTGAACTTAGCAAGCAGTGTTGGAAACCTTGAAGTTGCTGGATGTGTTCTGCAGCTTCGTGAAAATGGAAGTTGTTGTGAAGACCGGTAACCCCGTACCTCCGCAATCTTCTCAGACATTCCCGCAACCACTCCTCTGAACCCCTAGACTCTAAAACCTTTGTTTCGGGCTGTTGAACGCTTCTGGCCTTAAGCCTCAGCGCCCTAGTTCATTCAGATCTGGGCGTTGCAGGGCGCCCTAAGTCAACCCAAGAAGGCAGTCGCGCGTTCTTTGCTGTACTTGTTTCTGCAAAAAGGGAGAAAGCACCTCGGCTGCCATCCCGGACCGAAGCCAAGAGACGTCCTCGAACTTGGGGACGCCACCCGTCAACATACTAAAAGTCCCGTCAACATGCCAAGAAGTTTTTGAGACGCCTACCGTGGACATGCTAAAAAGGATGAGACGCTTACCGTGGACATGCCAAAAACGGTAATCCGTCAACATGCAAAAACTGGCCCGTCGACATGCCAAAAGTTCTCTGCTGTGGCCATGCTTAAAAAGGTAACCATGGAGTAGTACAGCAGTAGTACAGCCGTAGTAAAGTAGTAGTACAGCAGTAGTACAACTTTAGTACTGGAAATGCCTCCACGTCCCGTCCCGGGCGGGGAAAATTGAAAGTGAAAATTTGTAACTTGACGCGTCAACTTGTCAAAAAGGGCCGCCGCCATGACAAAGGCCCGAGCTAGTAGTACAGCAGTAGTGCAGTAGTATAATAGTACAGTAGTACAGGAGTAGTACAGTAGCAGTACGGTAGAAGTACAGCAGTACAGCTTTAGTACAACCAGCAGTAGAACAACTTTGGTATTGGAAAGGCCTCCACGTCCCGTCCCGGGCGGGGAAAATTGAAAGTGAAAAATTGTAACTTGACCCGTCAACATGCCAAAACCATCCATGCTAGGTCCGTCAACATGCAAAACTGGCCCGTCGATATGCCAAAACGCAGCTTAAACATAGTATCTCGAAAACTCTCTTGGCAACCCGGCGCGGCGCATTAGCATGTTGACGGGCTCCCTCCCTCGAATTTGTGCTTGTGACTGCAACGGGGAGCAATCGCTTCTCCGTGCGTTTCGAGTTAATGGTAGGGCGCTTGAGGGTGTTTGGGGAGACTGTCGGGGATCAGCATGTCATGGAGATGCCCAATAGTCATTAGAATGTAGCTGCATCGCGGCGCAAGCTGACGGTAAAACGGCTCCGGGCCATGGTCGTGTACGCCACGGCTCACGCGCAGTCCGGTGAGCGGTACTGTACCCTGGCGGCTTTCGCTTTTGGAGGCAATGCCCCGAGCGTGACTAAAACTTCCTCGAAGAAAGAAGCATGTATCGCGGTCACTCGTTTTCTGCAAAACCACTTTCCAAACGGAACCTGGACTTCCATAGCGGTGTTGTTGAATCCTCGAATTGGAATGCATCGCGACATTCAAAACATGGTTGGTAAACCGAACCTTGCGATCACTCTCGGGAGTTTCATAGGAGGCAGAGTGTGGATCGAGGACGACGAAGGAACTTCGATGGAAAAACTTGCAAAAGCAACAAAGTTTTGGAGCTCAAAGGTTCATGGATCGACATTCATAACAAGTCCATATTTTTCGACGCGCGACGCTTTCATAAAATCGAACCACACAAAGGTCATATGTGGGCGCTGGCAGCATACACCCCGAAATCCTTTCGACGCTGCTCCAAGGAAGTGATTGCATCGTTAGAATCGCTCGGATTTCCGCTTCCACAGGCCGAGCCGCAAAGTTTTGCAAAACTTCAATGGATCGGCGGAAAGCACGCAAAACTCCGATCGACACCGAGTCAAGCCTTAGAAATGCGGTTTAGCGCCATTCCGGCGGAATCTAGCGAGGCCGAGCTGGCAAACTCCGACCCCGCCAGGCCGCACTATGGCCCAAAAGATTTTGCATGGATTTTGCGCGCACTTTCGGGCGTTCTAAAAGCCAGCTCTGAGCCTTCTAGGCCGCGTTCTGGAGCGAGTTTCGGCCGGAGCGGAGGAGAAGGACTTACACCATCAACGAAACAGCCAGATACTACACCGTAACATAGCGCAGTTTTGAAACATGGATATAAGAGAGAGCTTGGTCAGAATTTGGTATTTCGCAGGCCTGCAGATTTCGGGGCTTCGTCTTGGGCTGCATGCCTACTTCCGCCGAGTGAACCACCGGTAAGCACCTGAGATGTTTTGGCTGCAGCCTTCTCTCGGCCCTGGGTCCCCTGCCTTGTTTTGTTATTTGTTGTGCCAGGCGGGGTTTGGAGTGGGAGGGGCCACCGTATTTTCCCTCCCTGTTTCGACTGGTGTGCATCCACATTTGATGCTCATAACATTTGCGTGCATCACATGATGGTGAGAGGGGGGGGCGGGGCTCGTGTAGGGGAGCAATACTTGCTCCCCTCCTTTTCTCGGCTTCGCCCTCGGGCGCACGGGGGGCGGAAATCGACGGGACTCGTGCTGGGTGCCTCTGCGGTTCTTCTTTCTTGTTGAAACAGTCCGCATTGTCACGCTGCGCTATCTTTTTCGGCTTATGAGGTTGTCATTCTCGGGGGGGGGCAATATTCGCCTCCCCTTTTTTACAACGTAGCAGGCAAGTAGGAGCCGGACCCCTACCCGCCATGGCGCAACCTGTCCTCGCGACCGTCCACATTGGCTGTCGGCCAAGTGAGGTGTGCAGCGAGCTCTTGCTCGGTCTGGATAGTTGGCTGTCGGCGCCACCAACGCTGGCATATCTATCACCTCCGGTTGCCATCTCGGTGGATGAGGTGCTACGCGAGGTGGGCATGGCGGTGGGACACGCCCCTTAGGGATTCGGAAAGACAAGCCGTTGAAGCAGTCTTCTGCCCGAGCTCCTTCTCCGTGCACAAAATCGTGCCTGATCGCTCACCATTGAGGTGGGTCATCTCTGTTGATCTTTACTTGGACCGGAAAGACGAAAGCTCGGCCCTTGCCATTTTTATGCACCCTGACATCCCCCCTCTGGAAAACTCCATTTGGGATGACACGCTCCGCTGCCTGTTGGAGGACCACTTTGCGTTGCTCGCCACCTTGGTTCTGCGCGGCCGCCTCTCGGTTAACCATATCTTGCCTTGGACAGAAGGATCGTCTTATCGCGCGCCACTCCTGTCCCATGTGGTGACAGTTGAGGCGGGTAGTTTTGAGGCGTTGCTCACTCTTGGGGCTGACGTGGATTTTGCCGATGAGTGCGGGCATGTGCCGTTGGTGTACTCGGTGATGGCCAATACGCATTGCAGCTGCTCCCTTCTCCTACACGCCCGTGCCTCGCTGGATCCCCCGACTGGTTACTGTCCGCTCCTGCTAGCCGTGGCCCGAAGCCAACGGATTATGGTGAACATCCTGCTCAATGCCCGGGCTTGCCCGCACCAGCAAGCGATGCATGGCCGCTTACGCGGACTGTCTTCTTATGATCTGGCCCGCCAATGGTCGGATGAGGCGACCCTGCGCGCCTTTCGCCTCTATTGGCATGAGGCCGAGGGTGATGAAGGGTATCCCCCGCTCCTTCCAGTACGCTTCGCAATGAGTGGGCGAGTTATTGCCCTCAGCGAGGCAGGAGCGGAGCATGCTCTTGTCCTGTTGTACTGCTTCCGCTGGCCTACGGCAGGAATGGTGGCTCAAGAACACGGCGATGAGGTCGCGGTTACGTATTCGGTTGCCCGGCCAGCACAGGCCATCGCATTGCGGCGAGCCCTTGCTAGTGGCAGCCTGGACACCGCCATGCGGATGTTGGAGCTCCACCCGTCCCTGCTTGAAGTGCAGGAGCTCCAGGTCTGGGGCGAGTATGGCCTCCCAACTTTCTGGTCAATCTATCGCCAGCTCGCGGGAGCCCTCGCCGTCATACTGTCGGCACGGGCATCGCCCAATGCGGGGGCTCGTCGGGCACTCCCATTCCAGTATGCCATCCATCGAGGCTCCCCTGCACTGGTCATCATCTTACTTCGAGCGCGGGCGGATGTTAACGCCGTTAATGAGGACGGGCGATCACCTTTGCGTGTCGCGGTTGCGCTTCGCTCTGCTCCGCTCACCGCTTTGCTATTGGAGTTTGGGGCCAATGTCAGCCACCAGTTGCGCGAGTTGTTGCCGCTGGTGCGCAGCTCCTTTTACAGGGCGGGACAAGGACGAGACCCGGGTCGTGTTGCTGCCCTGCTGCTACATGGGACTGGTCTAGTCTCCCACCCTGTGACCGTTCTGCTGGCCTCAGAATTGGTTCCTGAGCTACTGGCAGATGGTAATTGGTTTGCTCTCTTTTGTGTACAGTGCTGGGCTCAGCTGCAGCCTGACATGCTTTAAGCCGCGGGCACGCTCGCATTCCGGCGGCCAACAAGTCTAGGGGCCTCCCCAGGGTGGGTTAGCTAGCATAGGCTGAGCTTTTATGCCAGTGCTTGAGGCGTGTGCTCTGGCTGCTGTCACCTTGGCTCAGCTTTAGGGGAGGGTGCGGGGAGCAGAGGGATAGGTCAAGTCGCTCGCCGGGCCACGCCCGGCGCAAGTAGCGTCCTTGCCGGTGCCTCGGTATCTGTGTGCTGTAATGGAGCTTGCGACGTGATTGCACAACCGTTGCTGCTCCAGCTGGCGACATACGTCGTTAGCAGCCGTAGTGCGTCGGCTTTAGACAGGTCCTCTCATTCGCACCTCATGGCGCCGAAGCACGCTTCGAAGGTGGCCCCACACAAGCGGGAGAGGAGTCGCAGCCTACGCACCACACCCATGAAGCCAGGGCGGCGGCAAAGTGACAATGGCGCCACGCCTGTGCCTGCCCTGCAGTCTACTAGGACGCTCGCCGGCCCTTTGTGCAGCTTTGGTGTCGCCTAATGCGCAGGCGGCATCGGCGGACCATGGGGGGGAGCCCCGATCCATTTCTTTGGGGAGGAGGGTCCGCGCGGGCCCGCGGCTTCTTTCACGGTCCAGAGCACCAAGGCGCTGCCGGCTCGGCCGCCACTCTCGCTTGCGGTACTTAC